ACAAAACAGGAGTGTCACATGTTTTGTCACACAACTGGATGAGTTAGCAAAGAACTGATGCTGCGTTCAATTGCTTTTCCTAAACTCTTCTTATGTCAGTGCGTTCAATAAGAATAAGTAGCCTTAACAATCAGCAGGGCGATAGCGAGAACTTTAGAAATACTGAAGTGAGTCCGATTCATCCTGTTTTATGTTGTGCATTTACTATTCATATTGGTTCCATCATTCTCTCAGCAAATTCTATTTGCCAGAATGAGAATCTCTGTTTTGTGTAGATTGTTTATCTCCAAAGCAACCTTTCATAAAGTAAGAAAAAACAGACCCTTTTAATAACCAGAGGGTTTAAATAGTTTATTTAGCCTTTATTCATATTGTGGGTTGTAATAAAACATTAAACATGGCCAAGTTTGGAAATACATTGCTGTCTCTAGACACTGCAAAATGTTTCATTCTGATGGGGAGGTAATAGTTTATTAATAATTACTTAGTATACTTGTCTGTATTCACTCTTAGGATGTGACTGTATCTTAACTAAAAACTGCAGTTGTGTTTGTATTTTCAGGCTTTTGGACCAAGTCAGTCCAGACCTGCCTTCTGTGGCCCTAAGCAGCAATGGCAGGCTGCAGTGCAGCCACAGTACACTGACCAGCCCCATGGCAACTCAGTTGTGCGAGGCCTCAGAAAAGCTCTGTAATCAGCCATCAATGAGATCAAGTCCCTCATGGAGGAAAACACTGCTCTAAAGGAGCAGGTCGTCCTCCTGGGACAGAAGCAGGAGGAGCTCAGACAGAAAGATGAGCTGCTCAAAAGGGAAACCACAAAACAACGGGCTCACACCAAAACCCATGTGGACTGCCGGGCCCTGCTGGCTCAAAAAGGCCTGGAGCTAGAGATCAGTGGAAGGCCAGGTGTGATGGTCTGGAGATGAACCTGCAACAGAAACTGGAGCACAGAGAGGAAAGATGGAGGAGAAACTCCTCTGTGAGGAATGGCTCAAGAAGGAGGTGAATCAGCAAGAAGGAGGTGAATCAAGAGGTCACCTCCTCACCTCCAAGAACAATGAGCTTCAGCTACGACACCTCAGCTGATGGTTTTATCTAGTTGGATTCTAGCTGCTTGTTTTAGGTGAACAGAATTAATTTTTGAATGTGGAACAAAAGATTAATTTTTCTTTTTTGTTTTAGCCTACAGTTTTCTTTTTGCTCTCATCTTTAATGCCTGTTCTATGTTGCACTGGGGTCCTTGACAAACAACGTTTCTCATCCGTGAATGTTTATCATGAGTGTGTGGAAATGACAGTAAAACTGTCTTTGAACTCTTGAGCTTAGATAATGATAAACACTCACCTTTGGACAAGCCTCCACGTAGAGCCTGTATGGCATTTTATTGAACACACAACAGTATAGACCATCTCTGAACAAGGTTAAAACTGCTGTGAATGGATTAACAGGGTTATCTATTGATCTTTTGCTAGGATATTAGAGAAGACAAACTGTTAAGACATCACGAGTTCAAACCTCTGAAGGCACAGAGATAAATGCTCATTATTACTACATAATGCCACCAAACTACAACACGAGCCAGGTCAGTGTGTTTTTGAACTGAAAATCCGTTACACCGTGTGCTCACTTAAATTTAACTGCTTCAACAGGAATTTGCATTCAATGTTTTATTCAAAAGACATTTCTTGACCGTTCAATTGCCAAGATCTTTGGGGACATTTCTCCAAAGCAAACACAGTGAGTCACTGGAAACATCTTTTTTGCACATGCGTGGTTTTCCACAACCTGTCACTGGGTGCAGGATTTTTAAGGGTGGATGGGCAGACAGATGATGAAATGAGCTTCATTTGGTAGAGGGGGCGTCTGTGATCAGTCTTTTAGGCACTGATTAAAAGGTGGAAAAAAATCCCGGCATGTATAAGATCCTAAAAACATTCATGTCTTATCTCTTAAAGACTGCTAAGTAAGTTATCAAAAACACTCACAAATGAAGATCAACACTCAGTGGTCACACAAATGGTTAAATTACACCACCAAGACCGATATGCTTCTAAAGACTCGTCCTAAACATTATTAGTGCATTCCCCTTGGTTTTACTTCAGTCATTACATTCATAAAAAAGAAAAGTTACACACTGCACAAACATTGAAATAATGTCATGGAAATACACAATTTTAACAAGCAATATTAGGAGATCACATGGAAGAAAGAACACAAGTTGCTTTTGGTGTTACAGTAAGTGTCATTAAGATCGTTAAGATGCTGACAAAATGAATACCATCATTTTAAGTGCAAACAAATGAGGCTATACATGGTTACAGACAAACCTCTACTGTTAGATCACAACTGTAGCTTCAAGTGACTTACTGTCTAACCTGATATGTTCTTATTAATGCAGTACTTTAAATAAAAATGCTGTTTTCAAGAGAACTATTACATGATATTAGTTATGACAGAACAAACAGCAAATCTGGTTTTTCACCATCACTGGTGACCTCCATCATGCAAATTTAAAAATGGGATACAAGAGGAGAAAATGCATTGGACCTTATTTATATCTAAGTTGTTGCTGCTACTGTGACACTGTTGTTTGTACTTGGTTTATTTTTAAAGTTTTTAGTTTTAGCCTACAGTTTTGTTTTGTTTTTTTTGGCTCTCATCTTTAATGTCACTTCTGTGTTGCACTGGGGTCCTTGACAAACAACATTTCTCATCTGTGAATGTTTATCATGAGTGTGTGGAAATGACAGTAAAACTGTCTTTGAACTCTTGAGCTTAGATAATGATAAACACTCACCTTTGGACAAGCCTCCACGTAGAGCCTGTATGGAGCAGTACATCAGGTTTCACACTAGAGGGTAGCACAGCGGCTACAACAAGGGTTCAGTGGTTTGGGTTTGTGTTAATTCGCCACAGACAGTGAAGTAGTGATGTAAGCTGAAATGTTCTGGCATTTAAAAAATTATGGTTTTACTATGAAATCAGTAGAGATTATGACAGACATATGCATATAGCAAAAGATGAAACTGAAATGAACATTTAAAATGAATGAAATGACTTTCTCTCCCACACATTTCCACTACATTAAGATATAATCAAATGAAAAGAATAAAACTTGTTGGGAACCAGTCATTTCTTCTAGCACAGTGGTACAGGTGATTTCACTCTGGATTGATTAAATTGATGATGGCTTGTGCTTCAAAGGTCTTTGCAGATGTTTTCCATATGTTGTAGGGATGCAGATAAGCCAGCTGTTGAGCGATCAGCTCTGATCTCTGGGAGGAGGTGAGCATGTTTCCCTGCATGCAGTGGGTGCAGACCAAGACGGCCCAATCCAGTTTTAGTGGGCCTTCATGTGGCTGGTGTTTGTCTTCACCTCAGTGCTATAGAGACAGTCCAGGTAACTCCAGGCGGCTTCTGTCACAATGGATCTGTCTGGGATGGATTGGGCCATGCCATAGACTGCTCCCTGAATCAGTAAGAGGACAGGAGGGGATTTATAAGTGCACAGTACTAAAAGGGAAAAACACACATGTACTCATAAACCTGCCTTGGATCCTTCTACCAATATAACCACTATCCCTCCTCTGCACATGTCCAACCCATCTCAATCTGGCCTCTCTGACCTTGTCCCCAAAACAGCCGACTTGAGCTGTCCCTCTGGTGTGCTCATTCCTAGAGGTGCCCCTCCTGGTCACTCCTAAAGAGAACCATGGTTACAGGGAAACATCCCATTCATCAAACATATTATTTTTTAGAAAAAAAGAGAAATAAGCACACATTAATAAAACAGGCTGAAAAATGACCTGGAGTACTACTGGAAGCAGTACATCTTGTTGTACTAGTAGTATTTGTGAGCTGGAGGTTCCCTGTTGTTGGCGCTCAAATAAACTAAACAGCAGAAGTGTTACGAACATGTAACACAGACTGAGAAACAAAGCGACCGAGAGAAAGCCACTTCATTGTCCAAAATGAACCTGTTACTTCACCAACCAGGGTGAAAAGTGATCTGCTGAGAATGGTTTTATTTATATTCACCCGAGACAATGTTATGAATACACCAAAATACGTATTACGTAATACAGTGTGTTAAAGTTCATTTTGGACCCTGGTGTCAGCCCCCACGCCCTCTTTTAAGGATAAGGATAGTCGTTATCCTTGAGCCCTCACTGGGTTAAATGCATTAAATTGGAGGTAGAGGTAGATTTTCCTGAGAAGTTACAAAAGACAGGCTTGTTTCAGTTCTTAAGCTAACGTGACGATGCATGAAGCCCACACACATGCTTCCCTAAAATAATCACATTATGATCTTCATCAATAAACTACATGTAATCTCTGTGTGTCAGGGGTTGCTACAGCATGTCCAAAAGCAAAGAAAGAGCAAAAAAAAACAAAACAAAAATAAAACAATATTAACATGACATAATCCATATCCCTAAAAAGCTGCATTTCAGTAATACTCTATTTGATGATTCTCAGTAATACAAGTTAATTCATATATCAATTGTCACAGCAGAAGGCATCTTGATATTTTCTCACCATTTTCCTTGTCCACAGTCAACTCGGTGAAGGTCAAGTCAATGGTGAAGCTTTAGTCCAGTCAAAAGCCCCAAGCCCACATGCACCTTAACTCATAAATGTTCTGGAACATTTTCCATGTTGGCAGCATGTGGGGCCAGGAGTCAGTCAATTTTCCATGCACGATGCTGTGAACCTGGTATGTTTTCAAAAGGTTATGTTAGCTGCGGCTATGGTGGAAGTACAAGCAGCAATATTTATAAAATGTTATAAAACACCTGAAAGTCACTACATTTTTATGATGCAACATTTTGACAGAGACTCAAAGGATTTTGTCCTGATTAGCAGCTCTGAGATCCGAGACTTAGGGAGAATACATTGACTGCTTATATTGTTAGGAAATAAACAACTTCCGAGACACACAAAATGCATTTTTAGTCTAGTTAAGTTATTGTTCTGATCCATACAACAGCACATGAAAACACTAAACAAGCACTTTTGAGATCAATTCAAGCTATAAACAGCATTACCACAAAACAATGATGTATCTTTGAAGAAAAAAAAAACTGCAGATGTAAAGTCTTTTGCAAGCTAATAATGAAAACCAGGTTCTATAAGTGACAGCAGCTATAGATGCAGTTGGCAGCATTCAGAGAAAAACAAAACAAAACACAGATCTGACCATAAATCTACTCCTCAAATTTTAAAACAACCTCAGGTCTGATAGTAGTTGGTTCAGTTGTCTTTACATTTCACAGCTACATTGTTGCAATGTTTCTTAAAAAATTCTGATATCAACTTTATGTCTACTATGGAGGAACCTGCCAAACCACAGAGACAGACAAACAGGCAAAACAGGATATTTGATTATTGATTGTTTACTGAATGTATGCTTTGTGCCTTTCATTCCTATTCTAAATGTCCTGTATAGCTACTAACTCCAGCAGCCTCTTGAGTCAATTGGGTATTTTAGTGTTCCATAATGATTTAAATGCTGTTTCAGAGGCTCTTTTATCTCAACTAGAAGAAATCTCTGGAAACACTGGAAGGATAGGAAGATATGAACACTGAATGTGTCATTCAGGTCAGATCTTTTTGTGCTACCATTTAGGAAAACTAAACTGACTGTGTATCATATAACAAAACCGTCCACTGAGGGGAGCTCTTACTACAGATGCTGCAGCTTGACCTGAATCTTATTTTACTATACTGACACCTCTGATTCCTCTGGATTACAAAAATGATTATTGATTAAAGATGAGTCATATTTTAGGCGACATTTGATTGTCTACTGTCACTACAATCTCTTTCACAATCAAAACAAACTCCATAAACCAACATCAACAACATTTTTATCAGGCAGGAACACAGCCTTCAACAGGATTCATCTCTGTTGTGGCTAGAGCAAAGATACCTCCAAAAGCTTTAGTTCATTGAGGTAGAAACAGGGCTTGATTGCAGTTGAAGGGATGTCAGAGTGTTGGGAGGTATACAGTGTTGTCATAATGTCGATTGTCGTTACCACACATTTTAAAAGCATGCCAGCCTTCCCTGAAGATGCTACTATGCAGAGAGACAGAATGAGAGAGCTGCAGTGCTTTCCTCTTCAAATGCAAATATCTCAGAGAGCTGGTCGATAGATATATAATAAACATGGATCCACTGAAGGGAGCAGGTGCTTAAATGTTGCCTCGGGGGCTAAAAGGTCACAGGGTCAAATCTAAAAAAGCAATGTTGATCCTTAAGATCAGGATTGATTGAATTTTGCTTTCTTCAGCAGCACTTCCCCCAAGCCAATGCTTTAAGCCTCAGCCTCTATTTATTTGATTGTCGGCCATTACCAGTAACTGTGACATCTGCTACTGATGAACAGAGATGGAGAGACATGCTAGGCTTACGGTGTGCCACCAGACCAAATACCTGCAGAAACATATGGTAAAATATGAAATTTACAGTAGCTTTTGATCAATCAGGGGAGTTGAGGGAGGAATATGTATGACTGTCCTAAAATGTAAATATGTCTATCGGAAGTTTGTTTGTTTTGTGTTTTTTACACCCTGGGTCTTTCTGTCATATAATACATTACCATAGATATTATTATAGCATATATATATATTTGTACCTTTCTAACCTTTCTGGAACAAAACTGAATGTAAAACAAAAATAAGGTGATGAGATAGTCTTAGCTAAAGCTAATTTACCCACTTTGTCCTGCACCCTTAAATTCAATTCCATTTTGAAGCTCCAAAATTTTAGTAAGTGATCCTGTTTGTTAAGAAAACAAAATGGTTGAGGTTGAGGTTTTGATGTCTGCTGACTTCACAGCCACACTACAGGGCAACATCTGCAAAACAACTCGCTCTTACGCAATGACTAAATTAATCATGTAAACTAGATATTTAGATATTTGACTGCAAAGGTCTGTCCTATATCTGTAAAATGACTTATCCACTGATAAATGACTGAATGTTACAAGGGAAACAGTTGTTCACTAATAAAAAGGAACATGGTTTTGTATAATCTCCCACCCATGTACGGCTGCTGATAAATCTGTAATCAGGTAGCTGGAGTTTCAGTTCTGCAAATATATCTCAGACAGAAAAAAAACACTCATTTGACAAACTGAACCTCTGGTCAGAGCCAAAGAGTAGCAGTAAGTAGCACTGAATGAAGCAGAGGTAGCAGAGGAGGAGGATAACGGGCAGAAGACTAAGTCATCTAGTAATACTTTTATCTACATTTGACGCTTGGCCTAGAAATCATCATAGATTAAATTGGCTTTAGCTGTTTAGTTAGGCTGCTGACTTTCCATTCACTCCTTCCCTCACTCTAACCCTGTTGTATGAACAACAGTGACACTGATGAGAAGCAAATGAAACCAGGCTTAGTGTTGAGCCACAAGAGAAGTAGCAGTTTCTGGAATGCAGTTGCACTTAAACGAGTCCAAGTTGCACCACCTGCAAGCAAGGAAAGTAAAAGACCTGTGTGCCACCTGCAGGCAAGAAGTTACACCAACAGTTTGTCTCTTTTTTATAGTTGCTTAGTGTAGGTTAGTTTAAACAACCTTCATTAACACACACTGCAGACTTTTGTATCTGGTGTTAAATATTTGAACTACAGACTTGGGATCTACTGAAATAGTTAATATATTTGTTGACAGAGAATGACCTCACCACAAAATCCACCCAGCAGCTGTTCAGGAGCTAACTGTACTGATCATTCTTGTTTACTGGTAGAACAGTTAGTCTCTGCTAAGTGATTTAACATTAAAGCTCACTTGTCTGAGGCAGCTGGTGTTGTTCAGCCAAAAGCTTATGTTTGAGTATTTAATAACCACTGAAGGTTAGTGCGACCCCATTATTATGCTTTTATTTTATTCTGTCAGTGGCAACATCGACAAATCTACATTTCAAGTCAAGCGGTTGCTGCTATTACTTTTCTTGTCTATAGGTGGCACATTAAACTGCTCTGGCCTTATAAATGGTTTTGTTAGGTTCTTTGCATCTAAACCTGTCCTCCAAGACCATGAAATTACTTTTCGGTGTTAATGAGATCCTGTTTCTGCTACTTGAGCCTCTGACAAACATTTTAAAAATCTAAATGAGCTGCCTAAACTAAACAGGAGTTGTTGGCTACCTGAGCGGAGTTAGTATTTTCCAAAACTGAAGTGTTTGTGTAGCAGTTGGTGGTGATTTCCCACTGAGAAGCCAGGCCAGAATCAAAGCCATGACAGGCATCTGGTGATATCTGACTTGAGCAGACGGAGGTACTGCTTGCTCTCCGGTTAGCTCATGCTGTGTTAAGGCCTCAGAACAGAGGCCACATACAAAGCCTGATTTACTTCCTAGCATTAGTAGGAATGAGGCTGCTTTGTGTAGGGGTGGGGACAGGGGGGTTGGGGGACCAATCTTTAACAGCTAACAGTCCAGAGAGGTAACACAGGTTAAAGTTCAAACAGCTGAATGACTGATTCAAAATGCAAAGACACAACTACTTATGAAGTGATGTGGTGTCTCCACTGTAGTGAATCTAACTGTAACAACACAGGAGCAAAAATCAGCCACAGCTATGACTACCTCATCAAAAGTCCTAATTATGCAACATCTAAAAACAAAGGCATTTTCTGACATATCATTGATAGGCGGTGAGTTAGCCGCAAGAAACCCTGCCCTCATCACGGCACAGAGTAAGGAGCACTTGCATCAGAAGAACAAGTCGTGCAAAAACACAAAGCTGAAACAAAAAATTACAATATTTGTTATCTATAGTACTGGGGAAAAAACAACAAAACATCAGATATGATCTGAAATAACTGTCAGGTTAGGTTTCTTCTGCTTCTCCTGAAACCTGATTGTCCATGTTAGCATCTCCTCAATAAAGAAGATTTAGTGGACACCTCACTCCTGCAAATTCAAGACAGGAAATCACAGGCTTCCTGCTTGAAGGTTTTTTTTTTCCTACAAATACACACATGCATCCGACTTCAAGACAATCACTCCACTAAAAGACCATGTTAGAAAAGAATACAAGCCAATCTTTCTGAAGGATATTATACAAATCAATGAGCAGATGGACACCTGAGCACAATCAAAAACACGTCATTCACATAAAATCTGAACCCCAGTCGGCAATAGCAACAGTGGGTGAGGCTCAGAAAGTCCAGCATATTGAGGCGCAGTGAAAGGCTTCCACCTGCACCAAAAGTAATTGGATGTCATCATCAGTGCATGATGGCAAGTGTACCAAAGGTCTGACCCCCTCCCCAGTACGCTGTACTCGGTCATCCATGAGTGACTCATAGGAGCCTCAAGTGACAGAGTCACTGCACATCTGCTGGGAAAAGAGGGAACAGATTTACCACTGATACTTACTGCCACACCAACAAAGGGTATTTTTCTGATGAGTCGAACCCACTGCTTCTTGATTCGGGATGTGAGACCTATTAAGCAAAAAGATGAGACAGCAGCTGTGGTGAAATGCTGTTGCACGTTCAACCACTAATATTCAACAGCTGACTGTGACCTATAGTCACAAGTCAAGACAAGATGTCATGCCCACTGGCAACTGCTCCCATTTTCACAAAACATTTTCTTGTGAACCTCAAAGCACTGAAGACATGCAGCTAACTACTTCTCACTCTCTAAAAGCTGAAGTAAGATGGGTGGAGCTGGCCTTGTTGCTGAGAGATCCGACCTCTGATTGAGTGATAGCAGATTCTTGTTGACTGAAGGTCTGTCTGATATATTACAAAAACAAGTATTGTACTAGAGGATACTAACTGCAGAGTAGCAGGGACACTTTAACAAAGAGGTTTTCATCAAAAAAGTTATTAATTGCTCCGACTCTGATACAGCACAGGTTAAACCCCATGTTAACAGAATGGGACTGCAAATTACAGTATGATACATGTTTTGTGAACACAGCCTCTACAATTTCAGGAGACTGCCAGCTCATTTAATCTGTTATCATCTCTGATTTAGTCCCTAGCAGGCCTGCTGTGGAGCCATGTATCACGTGCGGGACATTACTTTCTTGCTGGAATAGGAAGCTCTTGACCCAGACTGCTCCCAGTGTGATGAAGACTGTGGCTCCGATGATCTGCCACGGCTCCAGGTGGGCGCAGTGCGAGTTGACCCATCTCTGGCCCTCCTCCATGTACAGCAGGACCATGTCCTTGTATACTTCCAAGGCATGCTGAACACAGACACATACATGGATTACAATGTACTAATGCTGCTTTGAGTTCATGGTCACAAAAGCATCTCAGGGAGCAGAATGGAAGCAAATAAGTATGTTTTGCCTCTAAAAATAGACAGGGTTCAGTGTATTTATGTCTAATACTACGGCATGCATCATTTTTGTTTATATTAATTACAGCAGCATTTCCATAAATAAACACAGAAAGTTACAAGAACCTGACACTGCAAATACCAATTGCACACAATTGTCACAAATCTTTTCTTCATGATTGTGTTAATATGGGGAAATGACCTACTACTAGTAAGACTACTCCCACAGCCCAAACAACATATCCAGCAATCAATGTTGATCAGACACGACAGGCACATTGCTTTTCACTAGAGAGCCCGGGATCATCTAAGTGAGCTTCAATCACAGCAGGATTACCAATGATATATGTGTGCAGCAAAATTATCTTTTATCTCTTCCCAGTGGTGGTTTTATGATGCAATAGCAGGCAGTTCGACAGCGAGGATGCTGCTTTCTCCATCACAGGCACAATCAGAGGGAGAAAAGCTTAACCTTCCTCATACGTTGGTGTTTTTGTTACTATCTCATGTTAATGAATTGGTTTTGACCCGTGTCTTAAATCTGCCATAAAATACCCTCAAAACAATTTATTATCCCATTTGTACCTCTTGGCTACCTTATTAGGTTTCCTTCTCCACGAAGAGATTGGTTTTAACACTTTTGTTGTGGCCCTTGTGCCTTTCTAGTGACAGTATACCTCTCGTTTCCAAAACAAAAAAAAGGTAAAATGAACCTCAGTAGAATTATCTAAATAAATAAAAGGTTGTTATGCTATCTGACTATTACTGAGGGGTATTAGGACACATCTCTTAAATATTATACATTTTTAATCTTAATATTAACTATAGTAACATCTATGGTGTTAAGGTCAATTTTAACCCATATATATTTACTACAAGGAAAAGGCAAAAAAGTTTTTTTTTCAAAAATAAAACTTTAATACAAATACAAAATGAAAAGCAGAACAAGTAATACAAAATGTAGTTGTGTTACGTTTGGGTGTCCCTCACCAGGGGGTGAGAGAGGGAGAGAATGAGGACTCAGGGTGCAAACTCAAGTGCTAGTGAGAGTGTGTCTATATTGCTATAATTTTGCAGTGAAAAGGACAAAGTCAATGGGTTAACGAGGTCCAAACAAGGGTTGAGTAATGGAGGCTGAGAAGACCAGGACAACAGGTAAGGAGGAAGGCGAGCAGCAGGAACCAGGATGACAGGTAAGTAGACAGGAGAACGGCAGGAACCAGGATGACAGGTGAGTTTTCACGCGAGCGGCAGTAACCAGGAGGAGTAGAAAACACCATCTGGGAAGCAGAGTAGCAAACGCTGTCTGGGAACTGTCACCTCTGGCCCTGGGTTGAACATCAGTGGAAGGAGCTGCATCCATCTCTCCCAGACATCCCTGATGGGAGCAAGCTTGTCAGATTTTGCTCTACTATCACTATTGTGAAATCTCAGGATATCATTCGAAAGGTCTGAAGTGTCCCAGAGACCATCAGTGGCCTCATTTCTGGATCCTTACAAGAAGAAGAACACCAATACAAACATCCAGGTGTTCCTCATCAATGACATTCCACATGTCGCTGTGGACTTTTTTCCTTCAAGGTTTATCATAGCAATGATGACGTTTTTTTAGTGACAATGGCATAAACAGATCAAAACATGTCTTGATGTCACTTACTCTCATCACAGCAAGCCTTGTGATCCCAGGGGTCATTTTGCTGGCATTTGCAGCAGCTGCCCTGCCATGTAAGTCAGGAGGTACTGAGCTCCAACAGATGTTACCACTTTTGGATATGAATGTTTC